AAAAGAGATATCTGCTATATCTTTTATAGCAGATACCTGGTAAAGCCCTAGGATGGGGCATGGAGTATATTGCCACTCAGGCCCTGGGTGCCCTGTGCTAATTTAGGTGCCAAGAGCAGCACGTGCCAATGTTTGATTTTCAGTGATTTTCTCCCTGGTGGCTTGTCTCCATGTGTGTGCTAGATGGAGATCATGTGTGCTGTGTGGAGCTGCTGCTTCAGGAGTTAAGAACCACAGAAATCAAGCTGAAACTGATAAAATGTTGATTCTCTGCTCTCCAACCCTTCAAAAAGGGAAATAAGTATTCTGAGTAGTAAATGTTATATACATAAGGTCTGCACAGCAAAACTGTACCAATGACAAACCAAATACGGTTTCATTTTACCCATAGGAATGATGCTGCAGCATGCAGGTGAGTGTGCACTATGGGTCCTCATCTGTGTCAGACTGGTCAAGGGTTGCTCTCATTTAAGTCTAGACTAGAGAGCTCTTCTCTTCAGCTCTGAGGATGCCAGGTTCAGTCCCCAAGTGTAGTAGTCAAGAGTGGACTAATGGGCATTTGTCTGGGGTTTGAATTTCGGGTACTTCCTTCGAAGCACTTTCCCTGAGGAAAGGTGTCACCTGACAATCAGTGGTTTTACAGCTGCCTCCTTATGCTCAGCTCCCAAAGGACCAGCTCTCTGCTGAGTTACAGTATTGCTGATTTAAAACTCAAATTTGATCATGTTTTTACCCAAGCTGATTGCTTCCCTGATTTCCTTTCTGCTTCAGTCTGCTAAACTGTAATTTAAGTGATTTCCAGTGCCTTGAAATTTGTGTGGAGTCCTTGATTGATGCAAGACTATATGGCACAAGTTAAGCATTCAAGGTCTTAACAGTTATAACTAGACTACACGATTCTTATCAGCAGGCTGAAAGCACTGCCACTTACCTCAGTGCTAATTAGCTCCTTTTACCCTCGGTGGTGGTTACCTGTGTGCAAGGCTTTCCTGTATCAGGTTGTTCTTTCCAGTGATCAAATGGTTCAAAGACTTCAGTTAAATGACTCACACCCTAAGGAGAGCTGAGATTTAATTGCCCTGTAGTTACTGCATCAGAGACACCTACTTGGATGTCTGTGAAATGCGAGCAGCCTGTACAAGTTCCAGGCACCAGCACGTTCCCTTCAATCCAATCTGAAATCAACCCAAGAGTCCTGGTGATTCCCACAGTGTCGTGGTCTATGACTTTTGTACACTAGGTCCCTGATAGATAGCTGCATTTAAGCATCTAGATCTTAACATGCTCATTCAGGTGTCTGTGGAAAATTCCCTGGAAAAATATTGCAGAATACCTTCAAGATTATTGTAGAATATCAAAGAACAGGAGAGATACAAGCTTGACTCACAGTAACCAGGACATCTTGCTTTCACAGGTAATGCTGTGCTGCATGATGACACCCCTTATACCCAGGAGAGAGTTTATCAGATAGAATAGCGACAGTTACTGGCGAGCCTGTTCATATGGGGTTTGTCATTTGTTTCTGAAATGTTGTAACTTTTATTACACAGAGTTTAAGTTTGCATCTATAAAATCCTCACCAGCATCTGTGCTGAGAAAAGTGCATAGGACCTTAAGCAGCATTATAAAAGCTGAGTGGAATAATGTCAAATTATTGTATAAACTCTTTTACAAAAATTGCTCAATCAAAATGAAGGAACCCACTATCTATAAGATGTGGGATTTAATTAAGGATCTCTGAATAGAATTAGGAACCCAGCTCCAAGTTTCTACATTTGGAAATTTCCATCATAAAGCATCTCCATTCATCTGTCCCTACGTGCATGGAAATGTATTGTCAGCTGGTATAAATCTAATCTGACTCAAGGACTTTAAAGGCCTGCTTTTTTATTTTAGATAGGACTTTCTTACATGTCAATGCTTGCATAAAAAGACTTTACTGAGCATAAATTACATCCACTTTGAAAAGTCATAGTATTAAGAGGCTGCAGAGATTTTTAAGTATAATGGTCAGTGTCTTTTACAACATTTGTTTTGCTAGCAGTTCTGGAAAATTCCAGTATTGTAAGGGTTAATATGCAGAGAAATCTGGGAGACTGTTTTTGCTAGCACTCTGAAATAGGACCTTTATTTAGATATCATAGAAATGAAAATGAAGTTACTGTTTGACGGAATTCATGCACAAGCATGACTGGAGGATGTGGTCAGAAAATTCATTTATACATTCAGGGGCCAGATCCAAATCAGTGTAAATTAGCTATTTCCCATCTATCTCCTTGTGGTTTACACGTGTGAAGGATGTGACCCACAGTGTTTGAAATGCACTCCAGAAATGGGAAATAAAGATTTGAGGAGAAGCTTCTACTGAGGGGACTTCTTAGGGCTACAAAAAATATAATCATATGGAAGATGTTACCACCACATGACTGCTTTTAATCTGCCCTTTTGAATACTATTAATGAAGTTAAAGGCCAACTTATTCACTGGTATTTTTTCCTTCTAAGATCTGAATTGCAGGCTCATTCAGCCTACAGTGACAATTCCTCCTCATTTCCATGGCTTTGGAAGGCATCAAGTGAAATGAACCGCACAGCAATCCCATTTTATCCTCTGCTGCATATAAATTCCTGGGTTTTGTTCTTAACGCTTTGCTGGAGTGTTAACTTGAGTTTTCGTCCCAAGACCTGTGCAATTGCACACGGAGCTGTAGTGATACCCATCAGCGTGGTAGGTGAAGCTGTGGCTCTGTTGAGGTTCAGGCTAGCAGCGTGCTGGGTATCTGACTGCTCTGTGCTGTCAGACTCTTGTTTTGCAGTGTGTCTTCTGTTGCCCAAGTTATCCTTCCCCGAATGAATCAGTGTGGGTCAAATTGACATTTTCAGCAAGGACAAGCCAATCATCCAGCAGTCTAAAATTTCCGGAAACATAATGTATGAGATTTCAGCAGCTGGATTTGTGGTGGAAATAGGCATATGGTGGTAGGGCAGTGATGGGGAGCACCCACATTGCTAGGCAGCAGCTGGGGACTGTGTCTGATGGTGCTCCCCTGCCTACTGAACCATAGCATACCTTGCACTCTTGCTCAGCATTTCAGGCTGGTTTCCTCTCTCAAGGAAGGCCAGAGTCCCAAGTTGGGGAAAATTAATATGAGAAATAGATGTGAACTGCAGGGTGTGTGGAAGGAGTGGTCAAGTCCCGTCAAAGAGACCTGACAGGGCCATTACTCTCCTATGACTGTTCTCTATCAAGACACTCATTGCTGAGCGTCAGCACTGGCACAGAAGGGCCCTGTGGGTAAAGCTGAGCCTCTTCCTGCTGCCCTGACAGCAGCAGCACTTGCAGCCTCCTCGGTGACAGGCCACCCCATGCCTGCCTGTGGTTCAGCCGCCTCCAGCTGCAGCACACAGCTAGACCTGGGGGACAGCTCAGCCTGCAGGGACTGCTGCTGCAGGCTCTGTGGTATCTGCATGGGAGGGATTTCAGGGGGAAAAGGATATCAAAGAGCCTGCTGAGCTCGTGGAAAACTTAGAATCATAGAATCATAGAATGGTTTGGATTGGAAGGGACCTCAAAGATCATCCAGTTCCAATCCCCCCGCCTTCAGCAGGGACACCCTCCACTAGATCAGGTTGCTCAAAGCCTCATCCAGCCTGGTCTTAAACACTTCCAGGGAGGGGGCATCCACAACTTCCTTGGGCAACCTGTTCCAGTGTCTGACCACCCTTACAGTAAAGAACTTCTTCCTAATATCTAATCTAAACCTGCCCTCTTTCAGTTTAAACCCATTTCCCCTTGTCTTGTCATTAGTAGCCCTTATGAAAAGTCCCTCCCCAGCTTTCTTCTAGGCCCCCTTCAGGTATTGGAAGGCCGCTATGAGATCTCCCCGGAGCCTTCTCTTTTTCAGGCTGAACAGCCCCAACTCTTTCAGCCTGTCTTCATAGGAGAGGTGCTCCAGCCCTCGGATCATCCTGGTGGCCCTTCTCTGGACTTGTTCCAACTGGTCCATGTCTTTCTTATGTCATCCATAAATACTTGGGACTTGATTCCCCTTTCCGTGGCTTTAACAACACTGATGTGATTTACCATGCCTGCGACTTTGTATGGAAGTCATCTGCTGCCCCTGACCTTATACCATTTACTCTTCAGATTTAGCCACCCCTCCATCTCCCTAGCTGCTGTTCTTTGAGCAGCCAGAGAAAGCCGGTGCATTTCCTGGCTTGGGTCCCCTCTTCATGTCTTAGCATGCATGGAAAGAGCTTCCACAGAATGATGGGCTTAACTTTGGCACCCACTGTTAGCATGACAGTTGTGCTGGTGAGAGCCTGGCTGACATCCTCTCTTTACCTGTTTTCCCAGGTCGTTGCACTGTCGTCGTGGAGTCTCTTGAGAGACTCAATCTACTATACACTGTCTGTTGTTGCACTCATTGTGGTAAGTTTTTGAAGGTTATTCTTCTGTGGGAACCCACATGTCTACTGCCACCTGTAAAGGCAACCTGCTAAGAAATCACAGTCTTGTAGCTAAGATCCTAGCTCCAGGAGTTGTGTGGTTTTCTGCTTGTGGAAAAATGTACTTGTGATCTCCCTGGTTCTGTAGAAAAGCTTGGCCCAAGGGTAGGAGATTGAGGTGTGTCCAGAGAGCCCAGAGCAAAAGCTGGGGAGAATTGTGGTGACTCGGTCCCAGTGCAGCCACAGAGTCCAGAGCTGAAAGCCCATGCTGCAGCCCCACCACCAGCCCTGGAGCAGATGTGTCAGTCAGTCCTCTCCTGACAGCGACCCTCATGACTTCCTAAAAAAAGTCTAACTGATCTGTAAGGAGGCAGCATTTGTGCCCAGAGGAAAGAGATCCTCAACAACTACAAAAAAATAAAGTTAGTTTTTTCCACACATAATTGAGGCAGGTCTCATTCAGTGCACGCTAGCAGCAAATCCTCTAATGAAGGCTACAGTTTCAGTAATTCTTAGCACTGCTCCTATTCCAGCTTTCATCGAGCTAAGTACTTCAGATCTCTCAGAATTGGGCTATACAGTGAAAAAAAGTTGGCACAAGTGTTTAGATAAAGACACTGCCATCAGTTTAGCATTACCTTTGCAACCAATACCAAACAAAGTCAAGAAATGTAGAAATTTGGTCTCCTGGTAACAGTTGCCACTTTGTGGGAGTTTTTTTGCTTCCCTTTTTTTTCCCAGGCTAGTCTAGGACCCTAGATTCCCTAAGAAAGGAAAGGTGATTTTAGTGATGTTAACTTCCATATGTAAGCAAGAAGGGAGCTTTAGAGTCAGAAGATGAACGATGGCATTTCTGAAGTTTGCACTACTTCTTAGTCACAGTTTCAACAGTGTGTTTTGTTTTGCCTTCATTCTGCACGTGCCTGTATGCCATACGTATTCTGTAGGTGTCTAGTCCCAAAGAGAGAGTTTGCCTCAACCTGTTTGTACTTTTATTCCCCACAAAAAGGTCAGCCTCTTTGTACCTGATGAAAAATAACTTTTCTACATAATTATTAGCAGTGAGCTGCAAAATAAAAAACTGAGGGTTTTTTTGCTTTGACAGCTTGACAGTAACCTCATACCAAAAAGTGTTTCTAAACAACAAACTTGGCCACACCCACTAATTGTAATAAATTACATTGCACAAGGTATGTAAGCACATTGACATGTAGCAGGCATTCTCTTAGTTTACTGCAGGGGAAGCACAGATGTGGGCAGCTGCCTGGCATTTAGCCTCCTGTTTTTTTGGATTGGGTGCTTCATTTATTATATGGTGGCAGACAAGTTAAAAATCTGGTCAGTCTGCCATCGGTTTTTAAATTCTTCAAACAAGGCAGATTTTTTTTATGGCTCGTTCATCCTTGTGGTTGTCAACTCCTTCAGGATGTTGAGAACCATTCTCTTTTGTATTGTGTCCAGTGGACCCCTGAAATTCCTAGATATATATGCTATGTAATGAGAAAGTTGTATGACACGTTTAGCAGACATATCTTGTTATCTTTAAGACTTCTTTCCTATACTTTATTTATGTATAAGCTATTCTTCATAATTACAGAACTGCAGAAGTCTTTTTCTTTTGGGAGTGTACCCCATAATATTAGGATACTGTTATTTTTTTTTCCCTAAGCCTTGAGTTAGCTTCTCTCCAGATGTATGCCCACTCTTCCGCTCATCTTATCAGCTGTGAGGTTTGAGGTCCTTCACACAGCCAGGAGAGCAGGACTGTGCCACTCCAGGCATTAGTGGAGGCTTGAACTCATTGTCAGAACTCTTATTCCCATGTTACAGCACTACATGGCTAATTGTAGCTTGGGAGATATGGAGCGTGTCCCACTTCTCTTCAGCGTTACTCCATAGCAATCATTGCCAATTACTTTTAAACACCTGTTAGAGAAAAACAGAGAAAGATGGGAGGAAGGGAAAACATTTTAAATTGTTAAAGATTTAGGTCCCAGCCAGTTTACCAACCCTTTTATATGCAATATTGCTCCCCAATTGATGGCAAATAAGGATTTTTCTTTTCAGAGTCAAACACTGCTTCAGTTTAAGAAGTTTCTCCTCCCCTTCACTCACCCAGGGACCCCTGGCTTCACAGTGGCTCGGATCTTTCCTATCTTTTTAAGGCAGAATCAAAGTTAGGTGGCAGCACATTGTTATTCAAATACTGACTCTCCAGTCCCCTATGTCTCTGCTGGGAGACAAGTCACAGGCTCCATGCAGAGCGTAGCACAACCTGCGTGTGGTTCCCCCTTTGTTAGATTTCTATGCACCTTAAATTTTTGGAGGCACTTAAATGCTTTGCCACATAGGGATGATTTTCCATATCAGGGCATTGAGACTTTGCTGCAGCTGAAATACCGTCATCTTTCTTGAGGGATGATATTGCTTGTAGAAGGTTGCTCTCATAGTATTTTAAACAGCAGCTTGTGGTGCTGTATTATGAGTTGCACTCCACCAGCGTCTTTACTAATCATAAATACACCTGAGGGGAAATAAATACATTCCTGCCGATGTTGAGATTCAGCAACTTTAAAAAGCTTGATATTCTGCTGGGTAAATCAATGTGACTTTGTCTCCTTCCATTTCCACAAGCAGAGGAATTGCAGTGCTGCAGTAATAAATAGCAAAGCAGTATAAACTCACCTGTTTAGTGCTCCAGGCCATTTGATAAGAAGGAGTGAACTCAAATCACAGAGATTACAAGTGGATAAACCACACTTACCATACTTACATCACCTTGATTCAGCCCCGTGGATTTTTTATTAACCTTAAAATAATATTGCAAAGCTACCTTGTCTTTTTGTACAGCTTGACAAAACTGTTACTCCTCATTTCCCTTGAAAGGAAAAAGTTGCCTGTGTAGCTTAACTTGAAGGGATGTGGTCAGAGTCATTAGTGACAAAAGTGGGATGGGTACTATTTTTAATCCCAAAGGTCAATGCACATGCTTTCATGTCCCATCACACCAACACATTGTAACCTAAAACAGGCCTTGTCAGATTAGATCATGGTGACTGGGAGCGATAACTTATAACATGCATAATGTTCTGTGGTCATGTTTTCTTCCAGTAACCAGTGTAACTATTGCTTGGTGCTGGCTGTCACACAGGAGTTGCTGTTCACAGGCTGTGTAGTTGGAGGGAAGCGTTTCACTGGGCTTTTCAGAGGCTCGTTCGCTCTCCCTCCATTGTCGCTGGTGCGCTGCACCAATGTGTTTCCCTAGTGCAAATACGGCATTTCCACTTCTGTGCACAGCATGGAGCTGAAAGCAGGCTCAGGTGCTCTGGAAGGACTGAATAGGTTCCTGGAAGGACCTTAAGCAGGTTCCTCACTGAGGCTGACAGGGCAAGGCAGCTGCCCAGGCCATGGGGCTGCGGGTTGTGGTGTGCAACCCAGAGAGGCCCCATGCTGCCATGGAGGGCTGGCTCTCCTGGGCAGCCTGTGCACAGGCCAGGCAGCCTGACTGCCCCTCCTGCTCCAGCACAGACTAGGTGGCCTGTCCAGCCCTCCGGGGCACCCTGCATGCAGGCCAGGCAGCCTGGCCAGCCCTCCATCCCTCCCTCCTGCTGCAGCAGCCATGGCAGGTGGGTCATGACATGTGTGCTAAGCCCACGCTGAGATCTACCGCTCTGTGAGTGACCAGCAGCGAGAGCAGCCTCCACTGATGACCACATCTGAGGTGGAAGGAGAAGTGAAGACAGAGGGGTGTTGTCAGCAGGGGAGCACGGCAGCCCTCCCGCTCCTAGCACTGGTGGTGGTGGTGGAGCGCGGGCTGGGGAAGGGCCCAGCTGCGGAGCGCTGCAGCCACCTGCCGGTCACCTCCCACCATCTGCCTCCTCAGACCCTCCTGAAACCGGGCGTAGGCAGACAAACACCCTTCGCCCCTCTGGCACAGGGTTGTTTGTTCCCCAGCACACAGAGTTACACACGCAAGAAGCAGCACATTTCTTTCCCGAGGAGGCTTGGGGCTTGGGCAGCGATATTACGAAAGCTTGAGCATCCGTCCGCAGGTGTGTGAAAATGACTGTCACACTAGTTAAATTCAGCTAGTGTGATGATCACATAGATCTGAAGGAAATAATGCCGTGGGCCCAGTTTTCAAGCAGCAAAATTTCACAGCAGCTGTGGAGCTGGCTGTAAATCTGGCTACTGATGGCCCAGCTGCCACCCAAGAGCAGGTCCGGGAAAGAGGTTTTTTTTTCCCAGCCATGCCGTTCAGAGGCAGGTACAGCTCCTTCTCTGACTCACCTCTGTTTTCCCTGTACCTGCTTCGCTGCTGCAATAACCCCAGTTACACAAGGATCCTGTGGTATTTGGGAAGGAGTACCTGCTCTGCCTTTGCTAGGTGAGAGAAACTGAAGGGTTGAAAAGTTCAAAGACTGGGCAGGAGGGCAGTGCCAAAACAGATCAGATCAATCCCATTGCCCTGAGCCCTGGGTTGCCCTGCCCACTCTGTCCCCTGCTCAGGTGATGAGCTGTTTTCAGCTGTGATTTCGTGTCTAACGTGCCTATTTTTAAAACTTTTCTCCACAGTTTATTTATGATGAAAAAGTTTCCTGGTAAGTATATACAGTCATGAATCCCCTTTCTTTTCATTTTTTTCTGGTTATACCACAAAAGCTGCAACAAGTAGGGTTCATCAGGAGAGGAGTGGAAAGCTAGAAAGTTCTGCAGGGTGATTCAAGCAGCAGTTTCCTGCTGCATGAGAAACTTCAGCACAAGATGGGCTGGAATAATTCATTTCTGAGCCAGAAAGAAAAGCCTGAGAAAGTCACTCAGACTGTTTCCCACTCAGCAGAGGCAGAGACTCTGCCGGTGTGCCAGAGATGTCAGCTACCTGGGAACGGAAAGTGCTACCCAAACAATAAATATGTTCCAATATTTAGATTTCTAATAATTTAATAATTTAAAAAATAAAAGCTCTTAAATTAATATTAAAGAGCAAATGATCAGTTTAAAGAAAGAAAGAAAAAAGAAGCATTAATATCCCCATGAACGTGTTTAAATGTACTGCAGTAGGTATGGTAGGCTAGGAGGGCTTCAAACACTTTCAAAAGTGTACTTTCAGTTGTTTTGCTTTCATGGTTTTGTTTTCAGCACCTCTCAGGGCTTGTAAAGTGACAGTGGTAGCTTTGATTTCACTCACAGCCAGTATTATTTAGATTACAAGCACTAGGGGGAGTCAGGCTTTTTGTGTTGCATGTTTTCTTAAACTTGTTCTCACTGTGGGATTTATGTTTCATTTTCGAGAAGGATTTCTGAAACACTGAGTTTTGCAATGGCTTGTTTTTCTTTGTTTTATTTTGTTTTTTTAACTAAAATTGACTCAAGGCCCAATTGTATTTGTCTGTGCCCTTCAACTAAAACACATCAATGCAGAAGCTGAGTGTTGAACTGCCAGAAGCAGGGGATGAGATTGATATGGTTAGTGCAATGTCTCAAAATCCTTAAAGAGAAAATAGCCCGTGAGTTTTAGTATATAGCAGTCTGATAACGGATGATTTCCACACAGATTAGAAGTTTTCCATAGGGAACTATGCAGAATACAACATTTTGGTCAATTAAAAAGATAAACTAGAAACAAGTTCTAAAACTCATATTCTATTTTGTTTTCCTACAAATTTCATTAGTTTGACACAGAAACAGTGGAGAAAAAACCTGACAATATCTAATCAGCAATTTAAACTGCTGCCTGCTGCATTCTCAGTGGTTATGCAGCAGCAGTAGCAGAAGAGCAGCTGCCTTTTGTTCAGGTCATCTCTGTATGCTTGGTGTGCTTTAGCATGCTCAGAAGGCACAACGACCTGCTTTACACCCACGCAGGCAGAGCAGGGCAACTGCTCCCCTCCCTCTGCCACAGTCCCCACAGGTATTGCCATTACAGCAACTTCAGTGTTGCTTGGGTGCATGATTTATTCACTGGACTTATGGGTTTAGTTGCTTGTTCTTAGCTGATGGGTTGATTTGTCCAAGTAAAACCAGTGCAGAAGTCAAGAAAACAAAGGAGGCATCACTCATGGGTGTGTGAGCCATTTCTTTATGCATCCCCTTTTCTCTAGAGGTGTGTTAAGACAGCCCAAGAGGGTCAAGATTTTCCACAAGTTCGTGGCATGACTGATGGGTGGGGAATGGCTGAACTCAGGTAGCTGACTGCCGTGCCCTGCTCTGATTCGTTTTCTGTGTCGCTTTTGTTTGCAGGTGGGAGTCCTTAGTCTTAGTGCTGATGTATGTCATCTACATCGTTATCATGAAGTAAGTCAAATGAACCTTCAGCTTGTTTAGATTGTAAAGCTCCCTGCTCCACTGCTTTTCCAGAGGTTGCAAAGGTAACTAAAGAGAGCTGCAGGCTGTGGGCTGGGCTTTCATTGTACCATCCAGTTTGCACACCAGCAGCACCTCCAATCACAGGGGTTAAAGCACCTTTCCCTGTCACGTACTTACCTGTAATTTATCCTCATGAGGCAGGAAGGGGCTGCTTATTCTCATAGTACAGAGGATCAGACATCTAAAGGTGGATGATGATACTTTACGGACCTCACCCTGTGTGAACCAACCAAGGCTAATGCAGCAAGTCTGTGACAGAGGAAAGAACTGAATCCATCTCTGACTCCCACCAAAGCAGGCTCTTCTGACTTTGCTTTAGCATCCCTACTCCGAAATAAACATGTGGGTGATTCCAGTCTACTTTTTATGGGTGCAGAACTCCACAGCAATTTTGTCTTGCTTGCTTGGAGACCCATGATGAAACTGCAGTAGAATCAGCATTCATTTTCTGAGCATCTGACCTGTGTAACTCCTTTCACACAAGTTCATGCTAGCAAACCTAGTCTGTTCTGCTGTTTGGTTCCCCTCCTCCTGCCTTGTTTTTAAAAGCCAGTGGAAAGGAAACCCATATTTAAACTGGAACATTCAACAAAACCTACCAGCTGCCAAACACACCAGTGGTCTTGTCTCAACAAGTAAGAGTAGAGATTTGTTTTGAAATTATGAATTGAGTAAATATTGTGAGAGCAATTCTCAGTGAGAACAGTAAAACACTCAGGCTGGGTTGAAGAGAACACTAGTCAGAATTCATCTCACTTCTAATAATTAGAAATTTTTTCTTTAACCTGGAGGGTAGCTTCACCCTTGTAACAATTAACTGATGAGCAAAACAGGCAGTTGTAATGTCTGAATCTAGAATGGATTTTTTTTTCTGGAAGCAGTGCTGTAGTGTGAACAGATGTTTCAGACCTGTTTGGTTGAGGAGGTTGTTGGCCTTTTTAAGGACCTCAGCCAGGTGTTCACAGTGGTCTACCCCTACTTTTGAGTATCATGGTGCTATCCTCAACTCATGCTTGTGTCAGCTCCTGACTACTCTAAATAAAATAATAAACAAAGATTATTTTTTTTCCCCCCAAAGTTGAGTTGAAACTTAGCATATGGTCTTGTCTTTCTGTGGTAGATCTTCACAGGTAAAATAACGCTCATGCTCACATGTAGCTGTGTGATAAAAAATAAATTTAGATGATGACAATTATTATTTGCTATACAGAACATTAATTATACATAATACATAAACATACATGTCATTCAAGATTCATGTCTTCTATTATTCATAGCCTTCTGGGTTTGAAGAGAGATTGCTTTGTATACAATATATTTAGAGCTCTGGCATACTGTGGCTAGGTTTCCTTAAAACCAGAGGGGTTTTCTTCCCTCCCTTAGTCAGATCACACAGGATATGGATCTAGGAAAGGAAGAGTGTCAAGAAATCCACATAGAAGGAGCAAAGGTACATCTAGAGTTTGTTTCATTTGTGCAGGTACAACTCAACCATACATCACTGCTTCGAAAGGAAGACAAAAAACTCTGCAAATATGGTGAACGGTTTAGCAAATAACACTGAAATGGACGATAACAGCAACTGTGATGCCACAGTGGTATTACTAAAGAAAGGTAACTGTTCCAGTAAGTCACCCTGCTTGCTTGCATCATTCTGATTGTTTATAAGTTTGTTTGCTAGTCATGTGGTGTGAACTGCTTGTGTCTTACCAGCCATTTAAAAAGTTGGGAAGATGGCCCTTTTGTAACCCTGCTGCTAGATGGCCATGACTTCTGTGCCTGGAGGCAGCTCAGGCCTCTTCTGAGCAGTTCTTGCTGCTGGACAAGTGCCTGGCTGAAAGGACTCCTCCAGCTTCAAGCCTGATTTGCTCAGGGGCTACTTACTTAGACCATTAACAGCTATGCCATTGTAAGTCCTCCTGTGGCCTATGTTATTCTGCACTGAAGATGCCCATTTACATCTAGTACCTTCAGTTAAATTGAACTCCATTCCAAAGCAACATAAACTGAGCAGGGAAAAAGGCCCTACTCACACTACTGTACACTTGCCCTCCAGTTGAAGGGAGAGTGGGAACTCTGTGTTGGTCTAGGTGGCATGCTCTTACTGCACATGCTGTTCTTGAATGTGCACAACTTTTCCATGTAAATGATCTTAAGTGGATTTTAGTTTGGCCGAAGTCTCCTCCTATTTGACTTTAGTCACAATCACATATAAAAATGATTGTTATTTCTTCAGCTTAAAAAAAATACACCTGTTCCATAGTTCAGCAGCGGTAGCGCCATGTGTGCATTTGCAAGCACATGCTAAACTGTATGTACAGAGGATAATTTTTTTATCTTTGCAACAGTCAACAAGCATGTGCAGTAACTGCTTGGGATTTCTATGCACCTATCCACAGGAATAACACACACCCACTCCCACCAGTCACTGGTTTAATTTGTGAAGGAGTTCTATCTTGTCTAAAGCAGTTCTCCTCTCTGACTACAGATGGGCTGCCCTTCTTGTTTTGCTGAACTGAAAAAAAAATATATAAAAAAAAAAAAAAATATATATATATATATACAGGTCTCTTTTTCTTCAAACAGTGATGGAAAGACATAGTCTGTATACAGTAAGCAACTAAAAGTTAAATGTAGAGTTTATTTGCTGAAATCAAACCCTTTGAGTCTACCAGAGGCCAGCTATGGTGTTTCTGCCTTGTTGCTGAAGGAAGGCTTTTCTGAGTGCTGTGCACTCTGGTTTGGGGAAGCTGCTTTTATGGGAACAGATGTCTGTAGCATGGAACTCTCAACAGCAAAACTGTGCTGGCAAGAGAACTACACTCTGTACCAGTAAAGCTAGGCTGGTAAAATTCAGTAAGCACAATCTCAGGCCTTACTCATCTAGGTTTAGCCAGTAGCCTCAGGATTACACGCAAATGAGGCAGTCCTGACTGTGGGATTTGGTTTAAATCTTCCCAGAATGCATCTTTGCATGACACTGCTCAGCTGTTGGTGATTTTTTGGTTTGGACACTTGCGGTTAGTCAAACTAGCTGAGGAAGGAAGACGAAAGGATTGCTTCATTTTCTTGCAGATTGTTCCAATATTTACTTGGCAGTTGGCCACCAGAGGCCCAGATAGGCTAGTGACAGTGCTGTGCACACCAGCCAGTAGCATGGGGTTGCAAACAACACTCGTTGCAACAGGTTGCCTGAGGGTTTCAGACACTACCGTTTGTTTTCTGAGACCTTTTCTGAACAGAGGACCAAAAATAATGAAACAGGAGGATTTCTGTGTTTGCAGCATTTCCCCCAAGTGCCACAGGGAAAAGCTGTCTGGCTGTTTTGATATTTTTAAATATAGATGGCCTCACTTATCTACCCCAGTCCATGGAAACCACCTCAGAAAAAAAAAAAGTGACACTAAGCCAAGGAGATACACTTCTGTAAGACTCACAGTGATGGTATTAAGTTGTAATGCCATGAAAGATTTGCCAGTGTTCAGCAAATGTTTGTTGATTGTAATAAACCAAATCAGAAATGTCTTGAGGAAGACCTCAGGTTTCCCTGCTGCCAAGTCCCAGTCCTGGCCCAGAACGGACAGCCCAAGGTAGCATCCAGGCACAGAAAGGATGGATGCTGGCACTGTGCCACCCCAGAGGTCATGGGCACTGGCACTGTGCCGGGCTGGAGTGCAATTTGGATACCTGCCCTGTCCCCTTGTTCCTTTGCTCCTGCACTGTGGATTGCACCCCATGGACTGGCATGTGTGCTTGCTGCCAGGTTTGATGGCACTTCCCAGCCATGAGCTGCAAGGCTAGGATGCGGGAACTTGTTTTTTGCTTGCATTGGTACCCCACAGGAACACAGTGACAATTTCCTCACTCTCATGTATGGTTAATGGTGAGGCCAATATCCTCACAGAAGTGCAGATTATAACAGAAATTAGTGCAGCTTTACTGTAGCACCATTTCTACCTTGGTGGAATAGCTGCTCTGGAAGCAGTGAGCTGCCTAACACAGGCCTGTGATGAACTGTAGAGAGCAGATTTAATTCTCTGTAATGAGCATGAGTGGGGACACTATGTTGGCATTGTATTTAAAGACAGAAATGTAGGACATGTAAAGATAGAAATTAAGGAGAGAGGAGGCATATTTTGAATGATGGTAGCTGAAGGAATGACTTACAAATGACTTATGGAATTTGCGGGTTTATTCTTATGAAAGCCACACAGGGCAGAGAGAGAGAGACTGCTGGAAGAAGACCTTAATTTCTCTTTGTTCCTTGGTTGCAGGAAATTTCCACCGTAAAGCCTCAGTGATCATGGTGGATGAGCTGCTGTCTGCCTACCCACACCAGCTTTCATTTTCTGAGGCTGGGCTCCGGATCATGATAACCAGCCACTTCCCTCCCAAGACACGTCTCTCTATGGCCAGCCGCATGTTAATCAATGAGGTATGTCTTCTATCTCCCCCCACCTCCCCTTCTCCTTCTGAATTTGCCTTTTGCCCTACTTGAGTCCAAATGAAACTCTTGTGTTTCTTCTGGATCTCTGATAGCATTTTCACAGGTGTTATCCTTCTGACACTTGACTTTACTAAATCATCCCTTGCTATCTGTCCCCATGGAGATTTTGTCAGAGAAAGTTTCACGTCATTATGTGGTTATGTTACCTGTACTTGTTGCTCGCAGGAGGTGCCCCCTGCTTTGATCTGACGTGAATATCGCTTTCACTTATTTAATAATATGGTACTCAGCTGAATCTGCACTGAGTCTGGCCCTGGTCCTGGAGTACTCCTGCAGTCAATTCTACAGCCATTGGTCTTTCTCTTATAAAAGTTGTATCTGTGAGATTTATCTAGTCATCTGCAAACAAGCATCGTGTTATAGCTGATAAAAATTCACCCCTTTTGCTTTTAAAGACAAATTTCTAAAGAACTCTGCACATCTCTTTTTCTCTGTTCCTCCCTTTCTTTTTAAAAAATGTGATTTTTAAAAAAAATCTGTCTTTCAGCAAAAATTTGTGCCTGTGTTTACAGAGACAAAGGCTGATCAACAGCAGGACTTACACCAATGGTGAGTCAGAAGTAGCAATCAAAATACCTATCAAGCACGTGGTTGAGAATGGAACAGGCCCCAGCAACTCCGCCGAGCGGGGCGTGAACGGCACACGGCGGGACGAAGACATGGCTGAGGCTGGGAACGAGACAGAGAATGAGAATGAGGATAACGAGAACAACGAAAACGATGAGGAAGAAGAAGAAGATGATGATGATGATGACCATGAAGGACCTTACACACCTTTTGACCTACCCAGTAAGAAGCTCCTGGGTTTCTGTTGTTCCAGAAAGCAAAACTCAGTTTGGGTATGCCAGAAAGCATTACAGATGCATGTTGAGGTAGAAGTGTCTCTGAGAGCTCACATCATCCTGCACCTCTCAGTGTAGTTCCTGGTCACAGGTAAAACATGAGAGGAACTGGGAAGCAGCAGGAACTTCTCAGGATGCAGACTCCTGGGTTTGGACGCACCTCTACTGCAGCTTGTGCATTGACCCAGCACTGCTGTTGCAGTCAGAAGGGAGGGGCAGCAATGTCCACAGGGTGATTCGTGCCCCCAAAACTGAGTCACCCTCTGGAGAGACCCGTCTCTCTCTGCTGACTATGTAGAAAGCTGAGGATGGTGGGGCTGCTGGCAAGGTTCTGGAATGCAGGTCAGATGTTTGTGTCTAGGCATTACCTTTGCTGGGAAATGAGGTGCGCTTTCACGTCCAGGGTAAGGTCTAGTGCTAGTGGAGACCAGGCAGTGGTGGTGCTGGTGTGGAGCAGAGTCAAAAGAAGGTCCTGGGTGCCTCTGGCGTCTTGTTTGTTAATATTAACAAAATAATAACATTCTGGACTAAAGCAGACTAAAATTTTGATTGTTTCCCTTTTTTTTTTTTTTTTTACAGCTGGCAAGGTAGAAATCTTGAAGTGGCTCTTTACATGGCCATTGAGTTTTGTCCTGTACTTCACAGTGCCCAACTGTAACAAACCCCACTTGGAGAAATGGTTCATGGTTACCTTTGCTTCTTCTACCCTCTGGATTGCAGCTTTCTCCTACATGATGGTGTGGATGGTACGTACCAACTAAAGCAGAAACCAGAGCCTGGCAGAAGTGGTTTTTGTCAGCTTAGAGAAAAGTGGAGAAAGTTCTACATACCTGAATTTTTAGATGAGAAACCTTAAGTCTGCTTCTATTTCTATCAGGCCTGTCCACACTGAGAGTAGAAAATTAGAAGCCAGTAGCCATGGCCTTTGAACTTGATTCAGGGGTAGAATTTCACTCAGATTCTTTAACATGGGAAAAAATTACACTTGTTCCAGTTTAACACCTCCTTGTCATGCAGGGCAGTGTGAAGACATCCTGATGCTAGTAAGAATCTGGCCTCAGTATTTTTGACTTTTCTTGGAGCAAGCAAACTTGAGAGACAGAGTTGTGAATAATAATACTTTGAACTCAACACGAACAAAAGCATGAGATTCAGCCAAATTCTTGCACAACTCCTCTATTCAACAGAAACTTAATTCTACCTCATTATCCTCAAGGTAGAAGGGGATAAATAAAAATGGACACGAGGAAATCCAAGTATAGTTGGCCTGTTCACAGACGAGTTCTGTGTGTGCTGTCTGGGTCAATGAGCCTGTTAGCTTGCTGCAAGCCTCATTACACGATATGTCTAGGTGATAAGTGTAATTTAATCATTAGGATTACAGTAATACTGCAGCATGGATTGTGTTTCTTTTGGGGCAGTCTGGACTCTTAAGCAGAATCAGACAATGATGGGATGTTGGCATCAGGAGTGGGTCTAACAAGGGAAGCCTGGTTTTGAGCTACTGCACTTGCAGTGGAATGCAAGATTCATGGTCTGTCTCTGCGTGGGACCCAAAGAGCATGGACATACCTTGCTAAAGCGCTGGACACAGACACTGCTTCCCTGCTGGGAAGAGGAAGGCAACAAAAAAATCTTCACTGCCTTCACAATTCATTCTTGTACTAAATGCAAAAATGAATGCCAGGCTTTTCCCTGCAAACCAATCAAAGCAGTTACAGAAGAGGGACTTCTTTGGGTTTTGTTTTCAATAACCCATGTTACCCTGTACAGTAAATAGAAAGTTACTTGTTTTCTTCTGATTTTCATCTGCGAGGATGAGGTGTTTTTCAAGAAAAAAGCCATCCCAGCTTTCCATAGCTACAGGGTCACTGTGCTGCTTCTAACATATGGTTCACATTTTCTGGAGTATGCTGCAGAGAGTTCAGAAGAGCAATTAAATGTGACTAATAGGAAATGGGCATCATTAAACAAAGGCATCCAAAATTTAAAAACATTAATCAATTTGAAGAACACTGATTTATCATAGACTGCATAGCAAAGGAAAGACGAAATTAAGGTATCCTCTCTCTGCCAGTAGCAGTTGTTTGCAGTCACTTGGGGATATGTCCTTGCATATAGCATTTTCATAGTATAATGAACCATGAGGTTGTTTTAGTGTCTGCTTAGCTATTATTTAGTCTATAATAATGTCTACAAACTTCAGCCAAGATTGGGAGACTGTTACACAGGGTAGTCAGCCACCATATAGTCTCTTTTCCAAGTTAGTGTCAGGAAAATTGTGGTTGAAAGGGTGAAGTAGCTAAACAAAGAGGGTGCATAGCAGGTCAGTGCTATCCTCTGCCAGATGATTAATATACCACAAAAGCCTGTCACTGCTTCTTTTTAAAGAAAGTGTGAGTTTGCACTGAGCAATAAACTCTGTCTCACAGCATCTTGCAGAATTGGGCCAAGCTGGTCTCTGATTTTAATTCTTGTAAACAGCTTGACAGTTTATTTCCTCTACTTAGGTGACAATCATTGGCTACACACTGGGAATTCCAGATGTGATCATGGGTATCACTTTCTTGGCAGCTGGAACCAGTGTGCCGGATTGCATGGCAAGCCTTATTGTAGCAAGGCAAGGTAGGTTCATAGGTTCATCACAGAGATGTCATATTGTTACGGAAGTGTTTCCTTACATCCTCTTCCTCTTTAGGTAGCACAGATGTGTCCTGAGCGTGAAAACATACAGAACCCTTTTCCTGAGGCTGAAATTTAAAACAAGAACCAAGAGGGAAATTAATAATGTTGCTATTGCAAAGCAGCTAACAGGTTCTTAATGATGGAGTGGAACAAGTTTTGGCACTGTTGTCAACTTCAAGCCTTCCCCAAAAGTCACAATGTTTTCCTTAATTTAAATATTAGTGGCATAGAATTGTTTAGAACATGGCATAAGGGTCTTTCAAGTCACTTCCCAGCTTTTCTCCAAAGTCACAAGGACTGGAAGATACTACTGTTTTTAAGAAAAACTTTTTCCCCCTCCCTTATGACTCCAGCAACAGGTGTTCTAAGAGACAAAGCTGTCAATCCTGCTTTGGGGAACAAAAACAGTGGCTCTCCATTGAAACAGCTGGCTACCCAAAGACCTAATCTACTCAGTGCAGTATAGAAACTCATGTGTCATGGTTACAGTAAAGCATTAAAAACTCCACTGAGCATGGCACAAGAGTGCTGGCAGATTGTAGCCAGCAAAGCCAGTGGCCAGGGTCCCCACAGCAGCAGAGGATTAGTTGAGGGAAATTCTCAGATTATCCTAGAAGGTGGATTCAACACTTTCAGCCCTGCTGACCTTATATGATGGGGAGGGGAAAGGGAAGGGATGGGGTGAGGGGGATCTCCCTTAACTCTTTGCCTTAATCCATGGAAATTGTCTGGATTAGCTCAGATTAATTTATTTCTGTTTAAAAGTTGAAAGACTTTTCTGAGACATGTCTGACTGTACATGGTTTCTGTTCCTGCAGGTATGGGGGATATGGCCGTGTCCAACTCAATTGGAAGCAATGTTTTTGATATTTTAATTGGCCTAGGTCTCCCATGGGCTTTGCAGACCCTAGCAGTAAATTATGGATCATACGTAAGTCCTGCATTTGTTCACATTATTCTTTTTTATTATTTTTTTATTTACTTAATTTTTTTAATAAAACAGACCGATTTAGGAAAACAAAAAATAAAGTCCAAAATTCTGTGGATTGGATTTGAAGAAGGAAATAGTTTTGCTCTGCTAAAATTTGTGGGAAGTAGCGATTAATTGTCAGTGGATGTTCCCCATGCTTTGGAGGACAGGTACTTGCATTTCCTTCTTAAAGCAGCAGTCTATGCTGAAATAAGCTAACTCACTAGAGCGTACTGTATTTTCAGGCACGTGAATATATTCAAGGTAAGGAGAATGATCCTGTTTTAAATAAGCCAGAGTGGATAAACACATAGGTGGAAGGTAAAGGGATAGAGCAGACCTGTACGGCTTTCAGTAAGCAAAATTCTAGCGTTACTGAACTGTTAACACACTGGAAAGTGAAGGAAGCTGTTAAATAACTGGATATTATAGAGCGTGATCATCATCGGGAAACACTGCAGAGCTTTCCTGTATGAGAAAAACTACCCAACACCAATGAAACCATCTTTTACTTCCCAAATCATAAATGACTCACTCCTGCAACAAAGTTGTTGCAAGTTCCCTTCTGAGAAGGAAGAGTAGGAGATGCCGTGAAGTCCTAGAGGGAAGTCGCTGTTGCTAGTGCTGTTAGCTGGACAACCCTCAAACAGCAGTGTAGGACAGAGGAAAGATTCTTGATTACAATTGCTGAGTGAATACAAAGTTAAAAGACTGGAGAATCACAGAATTGTTGAGGTTGGCAAGTACCTCTGGAGATCATCTAGTCCTCCACCCCCTGCTCAAAGCAGGGTCAGCTAGAGCAGGATGCTTAGGACCATGTCCGGTTAGGTCTTGAATACCTCCAAGGATGGAGACTGCACAGCCACTCTCAGCAGCCTGTTCTGGTGTTTGACCACTCTCACAATAAAAAAAAAAAAATCTTAGATTTAAATGAAATTTCTGTATTTAAAATTATTTGTGTTGCCTCTTGTCCTTTCAATGGATACCACTCAGAAGAGTCTAGCTGCACCTTCTCTGCCCTCTCCCATCAGGTGTTTATACACATCAATAAGATCCCCCTGAATCTTCTCTTCTCCAGGCTGAACAGTCCCAGCTCTTTCAGCCATTCTTTGTGTGTCAGATGCTGCAGTCCCTTAAACGATCCTTGTGGGCTTTAATCATACTTAAATCATCCTTCACTAGACTCACTCCAGAAAGTCTGTATCTTCCTTGTATTGAGGAGCCCAGAACTGGACCAAGCACTCCAGATGTTTCTCGCCAGTGCTGAGTAGAGGATGATCATCTCGCTCTAAATGCTGATAATGCTTCTCCTAATGCAGTTGGTGTTCCATGCCACAAGGGTGCATTGTGGACTTCAGCTTGGTGTCCAGCAGGATCAACACATCTTAGCCAAGCTGCTTCCCAGCATGTACTGATGCATGGGGTTATTCCTTCCCAGGTGCAGGACTTTACATTTACTTTTGTTGATGGTCCTGAGTTTCCTGGCTGTGCATTTCTCCAGCCTGTCCAGGTCCCTCTGGATGGAAGCACAACCCTCTGGTGCATCAACCACCGCTCCCAGTTTTGTTTCAACTGCAAACTTGCTGAGGGTGCCCTCTGCCCCATCCTCTAGTTAATTAATAAAGACATTAAGCAGTATTGACCCTTGGGGTAAACCACTAGTGACTGCCCTCCAGCTGGACTTCGAGCAGAGTGGTTTTGCCAGTTATCAGTCCAGTTCACTGACTACGTATTTAGTGTGTCTTCCTCTGTTTGTCTATGAGGGTGTTTGAGAGATAATGTCAAAAGCCTTGAACCAACATCTGTTGCTCTCCCATTATTCAAGTCCACCTCATCATAGAAGGCTATCAGGCTGGGTAAACATGATTTTCCCTTCATAAATTTATATGTCTACTCACAGTCACTTTCTAGTCCTTCATATCTTTAGAAGTGATTCCCAGGATTATTTGCTCCATCACCTTCCCAAGGATCAAGGTCAGGCTGGCCAACCTGTAGTTCCTTGGATCTTCCCTCTTGAATATAGGAGTAACAAAAAGCAGCAATGCTATAGGAATAAAATCCCTTTCTTTAATGAGCAGCTTATCTGTAGCTGATCTATATTTTTGCGGAAAAGGATGAAAACAAGTGGCTGAACAGAAGCAGCCAGCTTTCATGGTGGCATAACAATGTCACTACTGTTTTGAAAACCCAAAATGTTCATTGTACACTGTGATCACATGGTTAGGAAGGGCTGTCTTGGAAACAGCCCCACAATTAGCAAAGAGAGTTTCCTCAGTTTTCACTTGCAGTTCCTGGATTTCTCTCCAAATCCTTGGATAATTAGACTTCAAAACAAAACAAGCTCCCTCTTCCACTTCCCCCCCCCCCCCCCATTATTAATAATGAGTTATTTAAGTACGAGTAAGTTGCCAGAAAAGGCTGGAGTCAGGTGTAGCCTGGTGACAGGCATTCAGAGCTGCAAGGTGCTGTTTGTTATTCAGGGAGCCCTGCTGATGTGTGTGTCATTAGGTCAGCAGGGGCAGAAGGTGAGGAGCTCCTGCTCCCTGAGATCCATAGGGCTGAGCCTTGGGCTGCTCACAGGAGCAAGGCCTGCTCACTGGGTCAGGCCAACCTACTTGTTTGCTAAGTGTGACTGTGAGTCAGAAGCACTAGGTACTTTCTGAGCTAATAGTTATAGTTTAGTACTGCTCCTTCGGTATTTGGCAGGATCCAAATTTGTCTTTGTAGTATCTCCTCCAAAAGAGGAGCTCCTGAAAGCCATCATGATTCCCTTGTCTTGTGTGCAGAGGGAAGGAGAGATTTGTAAAAGACAAAAAGAGCTTGCTTGATCATGGTTACTTTTGCATAGCCATCCAAAACCATGATTGCCTCCTCAGAGTGTTTAATATAAGAGGACTGTGGCGAAGTTAAGCTTTTGCTGAAAATAGAGACTAAATGCATTTTAATAAACAAGCTGTTAAGGCAGTAATAGCTTTTGTGGAAGCCAAAAAGAAAATAGACTGTGATTTGAAAGTTAAGCTTTAATGCAGAAGAGCCTCCCAGAAGCCCCCTCCAGCCTTCTTTTTCTGGAAGTCTGAACACTCAGAATTTTCTCCAGAGTATGGTATTTCTGTAATATCACACTCTGTAAAATCCCTCTGTATCTTTTGTTCCAGGCTGCCTGACTCAGAATCTCCTGTGGCCAATTTTTGCTCCCTGTTAAGGCTGGTGTAAAGAGTTCTGGCATGTTACTGTGCAGAAATGAAGATGATCTGCTCCCTTTTTCTTTCCCTTTGTCTGCCTCTGTGCTGCGATCGGCACGTGCATGTGGCAGGATGGTGTCCTGTGATTATGTGCATTCTGAACTGTCTCAGCCACATGTGGTAAAAGTGGCTTCTCACTCTAACCAGCCAAGCAGCTGCTCCCAACCAGAAGGAGATTTATGAAGTTTCATTCTGAATGTGAAGAGCAGGCTCATGGCTAATTGTGCTTTCAGCTGCTGTAGGACCCTTTGTAGGATGAGCTTGTGTTTGAGCCTTCCTTAAACTCCCTAAGGGCAGGGAGGTGTTTCAGAGCCTATTTTACAGATGGTGCATTTTGATTTGAGGTAAGCAGAGAGCTTTGAGGAAATGCAGCTTATGGCTGGTTGTGAGACGTTGATGTATTGAAAACATTGTCCCATGAGGTCCCAGTTACTGCCTGGTTTTGTCTTGTGCCTGGCAGCAGCCACAGAAACCCCGTGTAGAATCGGTACTAGTTTGCTCTATAAGATAGTGCCTAAGGGGGAAAAATACAGCTTGTGATCTAACAGATAAGACAGGAAAAGAGCAAGAGGGAACCTATCAGAGAGACTAATGGACTTGCTGGAGGTCACAAAGTAGGTAAGTGGCAGAACTGGAAATAGACTGTGAATCTCTTGAGACACATCTGGTGCTGGGTTGATAAATCACAATCATTTTGATTATGTGCCTTTCCCAGTTCTGACTGCTCCTTTCTCAGGCCCATTGTTGATGGATGTTTCAGCTTATTATTTATGTTATTCTTCTTTTCTTGTTACAAGAAAGGAATGAAAAACCATCTTGTGCTTCTCAGGCTACATCTTGGAAACATCTGTCACCTGTTTTAAAGAAGGAAGTTCCCCTTCTTCTGTTTTCCTACTTTAAATGAAACATTTTCTGGTAGGATATGGGTACACCACAAGTGGAGACTGCAGAGCAATCACAGCCCCAGCCCAAACAAAGTGGGGCTGCACCCACATGATGTGATGTAGGAAGCTGGCACACCAGGCAGTGCTTTGCAAAACCACTCTATGCTCCAGGGCCCTGGTCTCTAATGTCATTCACTCTGCCTCTCCTATGTGTGTTTGTTACTATGAACCAGGTCTGTCTCAGTATGATCATCAATGTACAATACTGGACTTTTATTCTCTTCCATCCAGTGCTGACTGGAGTCAGTCCAAACCCAAGCCAGAGAATGCTCCATCTTACGCTTCTCCAGGAAAATGTTAGCATTGGTGCAGAAAAGAAAAGGTCCTCCTCTGACGTCACCCTTTGCCTTCAACTCAGTTGTCAATCCCACAGTTCTTGGTTTGGGCCAGGCCACTGACACTTTTCCCATCAAAAGGCAGATCTAGACAATATCAAACAGTTTCCACATCAGATCCCTTCTGTTTCTACAATGTCTAGTCTCTAACTCAACTATATGTTTATTATTTTAAAAGTCCTTGTTATTTCTGGACTTCTATTAATGTCCAGGCACTAACTCTGCCTTCCTCTGTGCTTCCCACTGGAGCTTCCATCTCCACTACTCAGAGGTCACTTGGCCACCCTCCTGCTGCAGCTCTGGCCTTCTGTTATCAACCATAGCTAATCTAGTGTGCCAGCAGGACTTTCGGAGAAAAAGCAGCATCCCTCTGGTCCTAGAGAGACCTTTCAAAGAGTTCACTTTCTCATTTCTTCCAAATCTGAGTCCTGGACGCGTTG